TTAAACTTTCAAGTTTGATGTATGTTTGACTGTACTATCCACTCGTTACCGTCATTAGGTTTGTTTTTGCGTACGGCAACGACGGCGGCCAACTCGCAGCTTGCTTGTTCTTGTCAACCAATGACGTTTAAAAGCTAGAGTACGTTTTTTATTACAAACAAAAGATTTTCACAATTAACCAAATAAGGAATGGGGTTGGTTAGCTAGAATCTCCGATTGCAAACGGAATGGTTTCGAGACTTAAAAGACTTACTTTGCTTATAGTACCTCTTTCATAACACTACAACAAAATATGATTCATTCATGTATATGACAAACATATTTTTATTTTAAAAGCAGACGCACCCTTGGCTTAATCTCGCCTGATGTTAAGTGAAGATGTAGTTACATCGTGGTCAGTTGACCATGGTACACGTTTGTCTAAAAAAAGGTGCCAATATACCTCTTAATTTCAATTTTCATGAAACACAGATTCCAATCATTTAATTTTATAGAAAATCTTTAACATAGATAACTCGGTCTATTCCCCATGGTCCCAGGTTGTTCGCACTTCAACCTTGCGCCCACGCAGTTAATGTTTCCTCAATTACCAACGTCTTTGTCATTCAAACGGCAGATATCGGTTTCGCAAACAATGATATCAGGCACGTGCCTTACATAATATAATACATAATATTAGCCACTAATAAAGCGAAGGTTTCTCTTTATTAGCGTCTATATTGAGTACAGATTCGTCGAATGGTATTGTTTTAGCAACTGGCAGAATCGTGCCGAATTTGTTGCCTTTGTTTTGTCTACAGCATTATGAGTAGTTAGTTAACTATTCTTAATGTGGAACGAATGCTCGATAAACCTTGTAATGAACGATAATTTTTATCGTTTAATGTTTTTATTCTAGTTGTAAGCGGCGTTAAGTGTGTATTTGGCACACAATGAGATAATATTGCCATTTATTTTCAAAACATTTCCAAATTGTTTTATCATTTGTACAGGTTATTTTAAGGTTAAGATAACTAACTGTAGGATGGTTGAAATGGCGACAGGTCACAGTCACTATTTGCGATCGGCGAATGCCCCTTAAGCTAAAGGAGAAAATATACAAGACCGTGATTAGACCTGTCGTACTGTATGGATTAGAACGTTGGGCGATGAAGAGGGAGGATGAAGGAACTGTGCATGCCGCGGAAATGCGAATATTGAGATGGATGTGTGGAGTGACGAGAAAGGATATGATAAGGAATGAGTACGTTAGGGGAAATTTGAAAGTGGCGCCAGTGACGGAAAAGATGAGGAGTAATGGGTTAGCGTGGTATAGACATGTCATGCGAAGGGAAGAAGTTCACGTGACGAGAGAGTGTTAGGTATGAATTTGGAGAGATATAAGGGGAAAGGAAGGCAAAGAAAAGATGGATGGATTGTGTGAAAGATGATATGGATAAGAAATGGAAATGACGGCCGATAGAGGAGAGTGGAAAAAAAATACATGTTGTGCCGACCCCACCTGCTCATATAAGGACAGGAAGAAGAACGAGATATGTATGCAAGAAAGACTATCGCATATACCTTAAAAGAAATAACCAATCAGGGGGAACGTATTACATTAGTTTATTGGAATAAAAATAAAATTGGAATAAAATTTATTGAAGTAAAAGTTACATTAGTTTATTGGAATGATTCTGTTATTGACAACCTTTGTGGTTAAGGGCGTGCGCACTGGTTTTCATGATTTCGGCCGGATCAATGTAGAAACACTAACTTTTCTGTATTGCCTCGAGTCTGGGTGTTTATGGTACCGTCGTTGTGATCGGTTTCCACAGCACAAGTACTTTAATAATGCACTATGGAGACATGAACGCACACAACCACAAATTAAATCCACGGAGGCCTTTACTTATTTGCTTTATGGATTAGAGTAACTTACCTGTGTGTTTTTAAACAAAAAAGCACCGTGAGACAGATATATTAGTAGCAGTAGAGCTCCTTGTGAAAGAGTTCGTCCGGGGCACAACTGCCACCTTTCCTATTACTGCCGCCATGCAGTAATTTGAACATTACTACTTTCCGGTGCTGGTGAAATTACAGGCACATGGGACTTGTCAACTTATGTCTCAGGGTGAAGGGCGCAGGGGCAGTGCCCCTAAGATCTTTGCGATTTAAAGCTCTGAGTCGCAAGAACTTTAACTGTTATAGATAGGCGTGTCGCTTACCACCAGGTGCACGACTTGTTCGTCCCATTACTTGGTATTATAAAAAAAAATTCGACTTGAATACGTGAATTATCCGTTAGTTCAGTTAAACGTCTGTGATGTTGTCTAATATTTATTTATAGATAATGAGAATGATGATTTTTCTCAATTAAGAAGTCGTCTAAATCTGATGTGCTGTTGACTGTACCATTGATTTCAATTTGTACGTTGCGTACATTTGTGAATAGTAACAACACCTCCCGCTTACAGCTAAGGGAAGGAAAGATCATTATATAATTACTTTTTAATTGTTAATTAACTAAAATCGCCTAAGAAGAAACCCGTGCCCACTGGTCAAATAGTGGATTCATGATGTTATTGTAAATAGAAGTAAGAGCCATTTTAATCTCTGAAAAGCAACTTCCTGTCCATCGTTCATACTTCTCCATTAGTATATCCTCAATTATTCACGAAGCCAAATGAAATCATTATACTAATTACCGAATCTCGACGGAGGCGGGCGGCTCTAAACCTCGCCAGTGGAACGATTAGGGGCATAAGCCTAGAACCCGCGTTTGTCTCTGTCTAGTGTGGGCCGGACAGAGTTTTTTTTTTAGTAATAATGGTTCAATGCTCTGATTTTTTGGGTCTCTTGGCCGTTCTATATAGATTAAGTTTCAAGGGAATACGCGGAAATCCAAGTACACGACTTAAGAATTAATATCAGAAAATGGCACGTATTCTTTATTATGGCAAAAGAAGTATATTGGGAAAATTAATTATAAGGTGAGCAAAGGTGTACTTATCTCTGAAAGAAAAATAAGTGGAAACAAAGGTCATAAGCGGGCAACACTGGGCAAGTAAAAAGGAGGGAGAAAAATAATAAACTAAGCATGTAAATAAAAAATAAATAATAAAAAGATACCAACACTTACATAAGTATTATAAACACATATTTAAGTGATCATTTTAAATTTGCAAAAGCAAAAAATCTAAGTCATCTTTTATTATGCTTTTTCTCCAAGACAAATATTTTAATTCGTTCTGAGCTAATGTTTGATTTATATAAATTATCTTTGATAGTTTCATGTTTGGCACAAATGAGCATTAAAAAACCTGAAGCCATTTTCGGAAACGCAAGCAAATTCGTTTTTGGTTTTTCATATGCTAACCTGACCTAACCTAATATGGACGGCACAGTTAATATATATCAAATATGAAAAAAAAATTAGTTTATTGTTAAAAAAGTGCACATTTACAATAGATCAATTATATATTTGAGAATCAAATAACATTATCCCATAAAAAATAATTACCATTTATGTGAAAGTTTTAACGCATACCTATTTCCGAAGGCTGACGATGTAAATGCCGAGATTAATTAACAACTAACTGCTCTTAAAGTGAAACGGGGTTATTGCTCCGATAAAAATTCGCAATACATATTTTATTTCCATTAATTATCACACTCCCAATGAGCAGAGACTACTGACCTCAACGTGATTCGTTCCTGACATAAATCTCTTACGTTATTACAATGTTTACCCCCATTAATATATCAATCTTAATATTATTTATCTTAGTAATAAAGAACCGAGCATTAAACCTTCTTACAGATTAATAACTTAACTGCTCCAGCACGACGGTAGTACCTAACAGATAACGGTGTCCATAGCTCAGGGTTGCATAACACCTCTTGCAATCCCCGTTAAACAGCTTTTAACATCGAATTGTTCCTTTTAATATTCTCTTACGACACCGCCGTCGTCGTGTCCTAAACCTCCCACTAGCTAATCCCACAGTACCTTCACATAGTTACACTGTTCAAAGCGCTCAAATTGACGAGTGTTTTCAATTAGGCAGCCCCGACAAATCATTAAAATTTTAACAGCTCACGCTCTACAAACTGGGGTACATGTACTTTCACACCCGCTGCTTACTCTAATTACAATAAACAAGGCTGGTTTTGAAGCCATTTGCCAGAATTTACAAATTGGTTCCACATAAGAGCACGCGTGACCTTCACGCGGCCCGAAGCGACGCGGGCACAGGCGCGGTGTAGGTGGAGCGCTGGATTTATCATTGTTTAATGGGCACTTGAAACTGAACCGTTTATGATTCAATTTTATGACTGAGATAAGGAGACTCCCTTTTATGACCGCTTGTAAGGCCAACAAATATCACTCAAGTTATGTCAGCGAGATTACGAGTATCGAATGTATAAGTTCCGATGTTTATAATGATAAAAGATAAAGACGCTCCTCTGGTATCGATTAATCATCACCTTATTTAAGAGCCAGACTCTTGTCGGTGTATCGATTAATAACCAAGATTTATTTATTCGTTCATAAAATTATGTATTGCAATTCCGAGATTTTTTTCAATAAAATGTAAATGCGCATTTGACCTCCATCTCACCTGATGGAAAGTGACGATGAAGTCGACGATGGAGCTTGCACACCTAAATAATGCCTATTCACTCTCGCCTTGAAAAGACCCAAGTTACAGCGTTTAGGGAACAAGTCTGCAGGCAGGGAATTCCAGACGGCTCCCGGTGATGGAAAGGGGAAGGCGGAATTACGGCGGTGTTCAAGGCTGCACCTTTTCACCAATTCACCAATTCCGAGTCACTTATAAGCCTCTTGGCACAGTTGTTAATTGAATCCAAGGTAGCCAGTCGGTATGTAGCAGAGCCATCTCAAAGGTGGCAGCAGTACTCCATACACGACCGAGTATAATATTTGAGATGCTATTTGTACTCTACATGTCTTATAAGAGCTTACTTTCATTTACAATTGTTTCGCATTGTTGCAGCCTGTTCGAGCAGGAAATCATGAGCTACGTGCCAGCTGGCGGGTGCGGGTCTGCGGCGGGGGGTCTGGCAAGTGCGGGAGTGATGTCCTCCCCTGCGGCGTCACCTGCCGCTGCACGCAGCACCCGTGCGCCCGCACCGCAAAGACGCGACTTTGAGGCCAAACTTCGCGCCTTTTACCGTAAACTGGAAAGCAAGGGATACGGACAGGGTCCTGGAAAACTCAAGTGAGATCTTTCTCTAAGAATGTCTGGTGTAAAAGTGCAGTCAATTCCAAAAGAAGCCATTGCGTTCATTACTGACATGAAACGTCGTGATAGCCGCGTTGTTAATACATCATCTTCAGTGCATATTGCAGTGTGAACAACTGTACGCCACAGACGCGACGATTTCACCTTGTGGAGACCAAGGCCTTCATTTATAAGTCTACCTTAAGTTCAATATCGAAATTAAGATCTTATTTAAGCCAAAAATTTTTTCTTAATAAATGTCATTAGAACACACGTCAACGATAACTCTTTCATAAAAATGGAAGTGGCCGAATTTCCAATTATTAATAATTGGAAATTAAAAATTGGAAAGTCACTATGCTCTTTAGCTACGGCTCAAGATCGTTATTAAGTCTTAGTGCAGGGTCTTGGTTGCTTGAGATGGTGATGATCTTATGTGTCGATGATTGTAGTATATTAATACAAGAGATATTTCAGCCAATACTCTCTTAATACTGGACTTACTGGAGCGTATTTAGTAGCAGTAGAGCTCCTAGTGAAAGAGTTCGTCCAGGGAAGTACTGCTACCTTACCTATTTCTGCCGCCAAGCAGTAATGTCAGCATTACTGTGTTCCGGTTTTGAAGGGTAAGGGTGCTGGTGAAATTACAGGCACATGGGACTTGTCAACTTATGTCTCAGGGCGATGGGCGCAGTGGTAGTGCCCCAGATCGTTGCATCAGTCAGATTATTGCAATTTAAAGCTTCGAGTGCTCTGAATGTGTTGGGGAATCTACACACTTGTCTTCAATTTCTTAACCTCCAAAACTTAAAAAATACTTCCTTTTCCAGATTACACATTCGTCGTGAACATCTTCTAGAGGACGCTTTCAGACGAATTATGTCTTGTAGCAAGAAGGAACTGCAAAAAGGCAAATTATGCGTATTGTGGGACGGGGAGGAAGGCTTGGACTACGGCGGGCCGAGTCGAGAGTTCTTTTTCCTCCTCTCCAGGGAGCTATTCAACCCTTACTACGGACTTTTCGAGTACTCAGCCAATGACACTTATACTGTTCACGTGTCCCCAATGTCTGCTTTCGTCGATAACCATCATGAATGGTGAGTGCTGTTCATTTTTAAAATCATCTAAATATTCCATTGGTGTCAGTTACAGGTTTTACGTTATTATAGTGTTATTAACCCATATATCTGGCGACTATCGAGTTATTTTTGTGACTTCGATACCTCGTACTACGACATTGCTATCGTTAAAACAAACAAGTTATGATATGACCTTGAAAAATTTGGTTTTATTCTCGTGCAACAGGTGGTGTACAATTCGTTTTGAGCAAATTTCTAAAATTACTTTATTTCAAATACAATGGTATAATAAAACCTAAACAAACACGTGAAATGAGTCTGTGATTCAGTTATAGAGGACTTAGATGTACATAGACCTTGCTGATATTTTACCACTACCCGTAATGGTTATAAGGACATATTAATAATCTCAGTATAGAGTACTAAAAAAACCGACCTCAAAAGTGCGTGGAATTACATCTATTTGCCAAGTTTCATTGAAATCGGTTCCAGGATTCATCCTCTACAATTTTCTCTTTCCAACAAAAAAAAATCGTCAAAATGGGTTCTGAAATGCCGGAGTTATCGCGTAACATACATACAATAAAAAAGATAAATATCGAATTGAGAACCTCCTCCATTTTTTTTAAGTCTGTTAAAAAACTTACATACACTTGTATAAAAACGGTACTTAAAATGCAATTAAAAAGTTCTTAGATTTTTGCGATTGTTACACATTGCAAATATAACTATTTTTCGGACTGAGAGTCATCCGTGATCTGTAAAAAGCCGGAAAAAAATATAAAACACAATTTAATATTATTAAATTTTTTGTTAATGTTATAAAGCTCTTGCAAGGAAATAAAATTAATATAATATAAAATTAACATAAAATTAAATTAATATATATATGATAATAATTTTTGATCATAATACGTACAATTTTTCAAAAAAAAAAAATTATAATTTTTTAACAAAATTCTCCTTGCTTTGGCGTTATTCTTTTAACAGTAACAATGTTTGTATCGATTACCTGCGAGACAGGCTTTGCCTAATGCAGGAATCGTAGGAAATTCTCTGTATGCGATATACGCTACAATTGAGTTGTGTTACCTGGTTCTTTGTCGTAACTAAATTGTAATGTACCTGCACAAGTTCATTTGTAAAATAAATTATTTTGTATTTTGTATATAATAAGCCTCATCTAGCGTAAGCAGCGGGCGTAGTCTGCGAGTACATCTGTGGTAGCACTTATAGTTGGCACCTGAGACCGTATTGTTTAGATATTTGAATGACACTAAAACTTTAATAGTTGAACCTTATATATATTTAAAAAAATAGTTTCTCTGTTTTCATGCGTTTCATGCACAATTGATGTTACTCAGTTAAATTTTGAAATAAAGAATCAATTCCCTAAACGTTAAAAATATGATCTAACTCTTAGGCACTATTGGTTGACGAGAACAAGCAATCTGCAGGCAACGGCGGTCAGTAGCGGTTGGGTGACCGCTACTGATCGCCGTTGCCTGCACGCAAGAATCATCCTTAAGGTTATAACGCGTCGACTTTGCTAATAGTACTGTCAGTACTCACTTTTGTTTTCTTTTGTTATAACTTGTCGAGCGTCTATAAATTTGTCCCAATCATGTTATGATATCCTGTTACAATGTATATGATTAGTTTCTCTATTGATAAATAAATAAATAACATAAATTATAAGCAATGACACATCAATATATTATAACTTATAACGCTAGTTCGTTAGGCGGATACAGTCGAGTACAGAGTTTTCTATGCGATACAAGGCAGACAGCCATGGTCGGTAAAGGTAACAAATATCTATTTACAATAACTAGTTACTAGCAGTAGAGCTCCTTGTGAAAGAGTTCGTCCAGGGAAGTACTGCCATCTTACCTATTTCTGCCGCCAAGCATTAATATCAGCGTTACTCTGTCCCAGTTTTGAAGGGCAAGGGTGCTGGTAAAATTACAAGCACATGGGACTTGTCAACTTATATCTCAGAGCGACTGGCGAGTAGCAGTGCGCCTCAGATCTTTGCGAGCTTAAAGCTCTGAGCGACTCTGCAACTGTTATGGACAGGCTTTTAGCTTGTAGTGTAGCTTACCATTAAGCGCGCGACTTGTCCGTCCCGTCACTTGATGTTATAAAAATACATAAATGCAACGTTAAGAAAGTTTCGCACTCAACGTGTTAACGCATACGTCCACGTCAATGGCGAATCGGCTGAAAGCGAAAAGTGTGGTTAAACATTAATCCCCTCAAGCCAATTCCGCGTAGATAAGTGTGGTGTCTCCCTTAAGCAACACTCAGCATACAGTTCATATGATTTGATTTGTTAGTGGGATTAAGTATACGTCGAAGCTTGTTGCGTACAATACGTGCTAAGTACCCCTTACTCTGTGTTAGCCTGTTGCTGAGTGTTCCTTCTTTACACTGTGTACATCGTAGCTTGTTGCATATATAAGCGCCCGGTACGCTCACTTTTGTTTATGACTGTACACACCAATTACGAGCAGGAACCAATTAACAAATTCTCAGTTTCCTAGCTTATAAAGAGATCAATTATTAGAACAACAAATAACACTTATGTAGTAACTAATAGCACAATTAGTTTTGCTATGTGCTTATTTACTTGTTATTCCTATTATGTGCTTAACTTATTACCTTATTGTGTTATTAGGTTATTACACGTTGTGAAGCTTTAATGGACTGCTTCTTTATTGGACTTAAGTGTACACGTACTTACTTTACGTACGTATTTAGTTCGCAAAGAAATTTTGTCGTTTTACGTTGCTAGGTACGAAAATTGACGTACCTTTTGCGTAATTGTAAACTTGCTACGTATAGCAACTATGAAAAAATAGTACTTATGGAAAAACTAAATTTTCTAAGCACCAATTTAGAAAAGTTAGATTCACATTTTCACTGCTATGGAGTGGAATTCCCTGGGTGCAGACTTGTTCCTTGAACGTTATAACTTAGACCTTTTCAAAGTAAATAGGCATTATTTAGGTGTACATGTTCCATCGTCGACCTCATCGTCACTTTCTATCAGGAGACATAGAGCTCAAATGCGCACTTACACTTTTATAAACAAAAAAAAAATTGTGTCTTTATAGAGTAAGGTGGCGTTCCGTAGTCTCTGCGTACCCCTGCTTTGGCAGGAAAGCGTGATGTATGATAGAACGGCAGTTCCATTATACATAACATTAATTTCTTTTTGATTTGCTTCATGTGTTTCGACTATATTTTGTTTGTATGGAAAGTCAAATTTATTTTAAAATTGAAATGAAAACTTATTTTTTCGTTCTCAATCGCGTATATTTGTATTCTTTTTTTTTCAAACAAGTCAACGTTTCGGGCTCTTTACAGCCACTCAGCCGTGACCATAGAACCAGTAAAAGGCCCGTTACGTTGGTTTGTTTGAATAAACAAACATACGCAATTTAGATCCGAAAAACGTTTCATTTCACTTTTTCTTTTTCAAAAGTCGTTGAAAAACAGATGTTTCTTTCAAGCATTAGAATGCCGTGTTATTTAATATCGTGAAAAAGAAGCATGTTAATAAAATAATCGTTCAGAAAAGTCTATAAGAGTACAATATTAAAATTTTTATGATTACTCAAATTGATTGTACGAAATAAATGTAACCAACCCTTTATTCGTCAATAACAACTTTTTTTTAGTCTTCGGAATTTGAAAATTTCTCCACTATCCAAAAATACGGCCTACTAAATAAAAACAAAGTGTACATATTTACACTATCCTATCTGTACATGTTTGAACTGGAAACAAAAACAAATGACCAAGCTCTACATTTAGACCTGTACATGTTTATAATTATATACTTTTTAGTAGCACCCTATTGATTTTCCCCACCTTTTTAGTGTCAACAATGCATGATCCAGAAGCCTATAAGCCCGAGTAACGGCGGGGTATGGAGCCACCCTTATAAGTAACAATGGATGTAACGGTAGCTTGTCCCTTTCGAGGTGACGAGAAGTCATTTTGTTTATTAAGGCTCGATTTAGATGACAAAAATTTACTGGTACTCTGTTCAGATGACCGCCGTGCACTGCCTCTCGTCATCAGAACGATCTAACGCGCGTCAAGACGTTTTTTTTTAATTTATAATATGAAGTGACCTGATGCTGTCCATAACACTTGCAGTGCCACTCAAAGCTTAAATCCGCAAAGATCTGTGGGTCACTGCCTCTGCGCCCGTCATCCTGAGACATAAGTTGACAAGTCCCATGTGCGTATAATTTCACCAGCACCCTTATTACCTTATTATTTATTATTATTATTATTTATATTTATTTATATAAATATGTAGATAGGATCTTTATGGCAGGTCCGTTATAGTTAGTGGTAAGCATAATATTTTTTGAGTTAACATGGTGTCCTTCAAGAGAAGCGAGAATAAAACTGTTTCTTGCCGGAAACGCTTAAATGACGCATCTGGTGCTACTGGTGTCCTTTGATGACTATGTTCACTAATCTGCCATCAAAGAGCCTTTCTACTCGTTAGCCCTCCAGAATAAATTCAAATCACAAAGCGACATCAATAATTATAACATTTTTGTAAAAAAAACTGTCCTCAAAAGTTTGTGGAATTATATAATTATATCTATTTGCAAGTTTCATTGAAATCGGTTACCGGAAAATGCGCGAAATCGGATTCATCCCCTAGTTTGCCACCCTTAGAGTTCGAATATTTCTTTCCAATTTCAATGGGACAAATACTGATGTACCCTCTTTCCAACAAAAAAGAATCATCAAAATCTGTTTACAAATTATCTGTTTAGAATTATCGCGTAACATATATACAAAAAGATATATACAGTCGAATCGTGGACCAGCACCTTTTTGGAGTCGATTTAAATAATTTCTAAACATTAATAAGACGATGCGTATTATCCATTTCAAAGTAGCATTTATCCACGTGAAGGTATAGGTTGGTCCTGCCCATGACCAGGAAACACGCGGCACTAAAAGAAATAACAAAATTTAAGTAGAAAAACGTGGCACAGAAATTCAATCTCAAGTTACAAAAATTACGACAAATAGAATATCAGATTCCCACTATAAAAATATTATATCACCAACTTATTAGCGCAGTCGACGTCTGAGCACCTTTACATTAGATATAACCAAGAAAATATTGAATAGAATTTAATTTACTGCACATAAAAGTTGGTATTAACGTCGGTAAATACGAACACAGCTGCGTTTTTTTGTGCGTGCGCGACCGTCGAAACAGTCGAAAATATTTTGTAACTCTATCTCTTTGCTAGTGGTGTGTGACGTTCTTTATTATCGCTATGTTGTCCGAGAGTACATAACTAAAAATATAATTGTATTTAGAATAATGCTTTACCGATTTTGCTTCTCAAGTTTAAAGTTTTGTGTTTTTTATTCTTAATTTTGCATAATTATATTTTGTAAAGAAAGCGAGACACGACTATCAAAAGAAGCAGTCATTTCTTCTCTTGAGCATCAGCATAGAAACTGATTGCGGTTTAGTACTTTTATCACCTGGCTTGTTAATAGTGTAACATTAGATGGTGCAAAACTCAAAATCAAAATGCAAAGGGGTTCCAACATAAAAAGGCTTTGACTCGTGAAAGGTAACCGAAGTGTATAGAGACACTATGATAATCATTTATTCCATGGGTAAAATTAAATTACACCCGAAAACGTCATTTTTTAAGCTCATTCACTGTGCTGAGTGCCCTGAGTAGAACGAGCAAGAATTTCTTTTCAAATAAACTTAAATGCTACGGAATAATACACTTTGAATCAAATTTGTATGGAATTTACAGCCATGTCGTTTATCCATACATCTTTACCTAACAAGTAGTCTTCAATTTATATATAAATATACTTTTAAAGTAAGTTTTAAATTTAGGAAATTATAATCTAAATATATGCTCCGGAATCTTATTGTAACAACGTATGCAGTTCCCCATAATAGAATCGTTTACCTCAGGTCTAACGAAATCTACGAAAACAATTAACAAATGAAACAACGACAAAGTTAATTGTATGAAGGCCGCAGTTTGAAACGTTTGCCGGGGCCCCGATATGGTGTTTGTACACCAATGCCAACCCAGAACTGAATTTGTAGTATACTTATTTAGTATATAAGTAAGTATGTTAGCAGCAGTAAGTACTGCCACTTTACCAATTTCTACCGCCAAACAGTAATATCAGCATTACTGTGTTCCGGTTTTGAAGGGTGGTTGCTGGTGAAATTACAGGCACGTGGGACTTGTCAACTTATGTCTCAGGGTGACGGGCGCAGTGGCAGTGCCCCTCAGATTTTTGCGATTTAAAGCTCTGAGTGGCACTGCAACTGTTACCACAGGCGTGTAGCTTACCATCAGGCGCATGACTTGTTCGTCCCGTCACTTGATATTATAATTTTAAAAAAAAATGTTATTTTGGCAAATAATTTATCCAAAATGCTTCCTTTCTTTCAGGTTCCGTTTCTCGGGTCGCGTATTAGGCCTGGCGCTAGTTCACGGCTACCTGCTCGAAGCATGGTTCACCCGCGCCCTCTACCGTGCCTTACTGAGACTGCCGCCCGCTCTCGAGGACGTCGACGCCCTTGATGCTCAATTCGCTGCTTCGCTACGATGGTTGCAGGTATGTGTTGTGGCTTATATATTTTAAACGGTTTCAATAAAATTGTTTTATTTTCGTCGTCTCCGCTTTTGGGATGTACAGTGATTTAGTATCATATTAATAAATATTTAGATAGCTTTCTGATTTTTGGCGTTTCAATCGTTTTTGTAATTTCTGAGAATAAACATTGAAGAAACCTGTTGTAAAATTTTCTCCGAAACCATTTAGAATTGGCCTATATGAAAGGACAGGATAGTAGGTTGACATCTTGATATGAAAATCATGAGTTTGGTTTAAATTAAGTTAGGTTGCTAACGCCATCTAGTTTGCATCACACAAAACTAGCGTTGTGCTCTACATTTGGATGAACTGCGTTTATTTTTGTACGAATTCTCCGGAAACTAGTGATCCCCTACGGATTGTGTTACACGCAATATGTTCCACATTCAGATTTACGACGATTGTCAATGGAATGGAAGTAAAGAAGTTACGGTCCTTCACAAAGTATTTAAAGCTTTTTAAACTTATTTCAACCGAACTACAGCTGGCCAAAGGCGTTCTTATTTGCCACAGGTTTTATGCCATCAATTCACGACACGTAAAAAAATTATACTACTTTCTGAAAGAGCAGCTGTTTCAACAGTTTGTAGCAATTTTTTTAACGACATTAGCGGCCCAGCGGTTTATACTCTGGGCGCTGGATGAGGAGGCCCCGGGTTAGATTACTGGTAGGACTCATTTGGGAAATTAACTTTTCTAAAGTGGCTCTGGTCTGGAGTACCCCAGAGTGAATTCCGTTGCTATAGCACTGATAGTACAGGGAATCCCTAGTTTGACACCAGGCGTTGGGTATAATTATCTGGGACATGACATAATTATTTTTACAATATCGTCAACCCGCATACATGTTACTGTTAGGCTCCTACAAGGAAAAAAAAGGACTTCATCTTCAACTTCACCTTCTCACGTCCCCAACGTGTTGCAACGACTTAACATTCTAAACAAATGTTACTAAGAAATTGAAGTAGCAGAAAAGCTCCTTGTGAAAGAGTTCGTCCAGGGAAATACTGCCACCTAACCTATTCGTGCAGCAAACCAGCAATGTGAGCATTACTGCGTTCCGGTTTTGAAGGGTAAGAGTGCTGGTGAAATTACAAGCACATGAGACTTGTCAACTTATGTCTCAGGGGTACGGGCGCATTTTCGATTTAAAACTCTGAGTGACAGTCTAACTGCTATCCATAGGGATAGGCGTGTCGCTTGCCACCAGGCGCACGACTATTTCGTCCCGTCTCTTGGTTTAAAAAAAAAATGCTGAACTGCCACTCTGAGGTGCGGGTTTGATTCCCGGGCTGGGAGAAATATTTGTTTGCATTTATTTCTCTCGTGAGTTTAGGTGTAAATTGTGGTTGTCTATTTGTGTGTCCATGGCGCAGTGGCAGTCTCTGAGCGGCACTGTAACTGTTATGAACAGGTGTGTCGCTTAAGACCAGGCGTACGAGTAGCTCGTCATTTCTTTTGTGTTTTTTTATTCATAAATAGGCTATACTACTAATTCTTATAACTGATTCGTAAAGAGTATATTCGTTTGAGTCAGAATCTTACCTTGATGTAACACAGTTTCGATTAGTACGAAAGGTAAAGAACATTTTTGTCAATATCAAAAACTAGTACAAAGTCAATGGTTAAACTGCTATATTTTCTTAAACTATTACATAAGTGGGATTGTAAACATTTGATGAAAACAAATTATTATTATTATTGAAAAATAAAACATCAAGTTTCCGTCACCGGAATTCGAACTGTCAACTCTTAATGTACCAACAACAGTTCTACAACAGCGTACCAAATTTGATTACTTATTTATACTATTTTGTCCCTCCACAGAGCGCTTGTAGCGTGTCATCACTGGAACTAACATTCGCGGTGTCAGAACGCCTGGCCGACGGGCGGGTGCTGGAGCGCGAACTGCGCCCAGGCGGCCGCGATTTGCCCGTCACCGATCGCAACAAAAAGGACTATCTAGAACGACTGGTTCGCTGGCGCGTCGAGCGTGGCGTCGCCGACCAGACGGAATGGCTGGTTAGAGGGTTTCACGAGGTACTTTACTCTCCATATCTTTTGATAATAATAATAATAATAATAAAACCGAGAAACGCCGGAAGTCTCTCGACCTGGCGCACGAGATCACCGACATGTGGGATATGGACTCCACTGAAATAATACCAATTGTTTTATCCTCAAATGGGTTAATTCCAGTCACCCTAACAGCTTGAGGCGGTTGGATTTGTGTGGCGTGTCGCTTCCAGCAAAAATGCACAAGGCTGGATACGGCACGTATTATTCGCCGGTTCTTGAATCTGAGTCCCTGACCCCGGCCGACTGTGCCATTGCCGGGAAATACCGGCTCTCCCATTTAAATTCAAAATTAATATTTTAGGCCTTCGGAGAGGCGAGTGTCTAAAATAGATACAATAATAATAAGCACATTTACAATAAAAAGTTTTTAAGTATTTGGTTCAATTAATACAACGTTTAACTGCTTTGTGCACCATCAACTGCCCTCCATCTATAACTCCGTAATAATTTGTAAGGTTGCCTGAAAGAAGTCGCTGTCTAGCGATTAGTACCTTTAACTATGTTTTGCATTGTCACTGTTTTTATTTTGTGTGCAATAAAACTTATTATATTCTATTCTGTACAAAGATCGAACACTAAGGAAAATTCGATCTGACCGGAAACTAGGGCCACTGCTTCACCAATCCAATTACAGATCGAGTCAGCTGACTTTAACAATTTCTCTTAGTCTTTGTTACAGATTCTTGTGTTGGATTTTTTCGAGTTATTGAGAAGCTTCAAATGTCTCCCACAGATGTCGCTTACTAAGATAAAAGCCGAAAAAAACCAATACAAATAAATTAAGTACCTGTCAGTTCGAAAAAATTTGTCTTTTTAAGTTTATATTGAATGTCACGAAGTTTTATTACCTTGAGACATACAAAACTACCTACAAAAACAGAAGAAACTATAAAAGAAAATAGAAAAGTTCGTTAGGTCAGCCGGTTCGTTCCGTGACTTAGTTGGCACAGCGTCTGCTAGACGACTTCGGTTCAAGAATCTGGCCGGATCGAATGAATTTTTTCTAAGTGTTCTATCTTTGTAATTAATAATTATAACAAACTAGTGGAGCAATTTCACACACATTCAATAAAAACTTGAGAATTACAATGATTAAAGCGACATCCCTAGTCAGCGATGGTACTTGTAAACGTACCTCTCTGAGTGAAGAAATAAATTTCTCACAGATGGCGCTGCGGCAAAAAGTCGTTAAAAACCAAAAAACAAAGATCTGCATCACTACATAGAAAGATTCGTAAGGTCCTCTGGTTCGTTCCGTGACTTAGTGCGCCTAGCGTCTGCCACGATTTGCTAGAAGACGTCGGTTTGAAACCCGCCGGATCGAAGGAATTTTTTTAAAGTGAAGTTCGATCTTTGTATTAGTAATTATAACTATTTACTACCGAGTTTTTAGGTTTTCGCGATTGTTACACATAGGAAATGAAACTATTTTTCCGGATTTAAATCGCGTATATTTGTTTTTTCAAACAAACCAACGTTTCGGGCCCTTTACAGGCCCCATGGTCACGATTGACTGAGGTGGTAACGTCATCAATCAGTTCTACCTAATATTAATGCAAAGCACCCTATTTTTTGCTATAGTTACAAAAGTTATTAATTAAATTAATTAATTAATTTAATTAATTAATTTTGAATATTCCAAAGAACATTCCAATTTACGCTACATATGTTTTACAAATTATTTTATTTTAACAATGTGAATTTTTATTAAATTAAATTTGTTATTATTTAATAATGTTAAATTAGATTAAATTGAAACGTAATTTGTTTGAAAAACAAATATACGCAAATTAAAACGGAAAAAATAGTTTCATTAATTATTTGCTACATAATCAAAACACTTGGATACTTGGGCACTAACTAGATCTATAGGGGTATGACAAACTGGTATGGTCCTTTACGGGACAAAGACCTGTCTTTTGACGACCGAGTGGCCTAACTCGGTTTGTACTGCAAGCGCTGGATGAGGAGGTCCTGAGTTCGGTTCCCGGTAGGATCAATTTGTAAAATGACCTTTCGTGTTCTAAATAGTGTCCCGTAGTGAATTCCGTTAAAATATTAAGTATAGAAATTTTGCTAGTTTGAGATCAGGTGTGGTTGTCTAGCACATTGTTATTTAAGAATAAGGTTTGCCTAGATCCTAAAATTCTAGGGGTTTCTGCTTAGTCGCTCGTTACAACACCTAGGATAGTGATTCAATTTTCAATTTAAAACCGTTAGCGAAAAACAATGCACTAATATTATTACCGTCAAGTATGTATAATTGCAAAATATTTGCTTTTTATACAACTTTTTATAATAATTGTGTGTCATGCGCATGCGTCGCGACAACCTCGTCTTACCACTTGCGTGGAAAATAAACGAAGCCCATGTAAATAAATAATAAAAGAAGCACACTCATGGCTCCGCACTAGGGAAACCCTGAGTCGCGGGTGCCATGGATGCACACATAGATAACCACAAATTACATCCAAGCACACGAGAGAAAGAAATCTAAGCCATACAAATATTTCTCCCGGTCCGGGAATCGAACCTGGGACCTCCGCATGGCAGATCAGAATGGTGACCGTTCGACTACAGAAGCAATTCAAACAACAACACCACCACCACATAAAATATAACAGTAATAAATGTATACGTTATAAATAAAGAACATTCTCATGTGCTCAGGTAGTAGATCCCCGCCTAGTGGCGGCGTTCGACGCGCGGGAGTTGGAACTGGTGATCGCAGGCGCACCCGAACTTGACGTAAACGACTGGAGAGCAAATACGGAGTACCGCGGTGGCTACCACGACCACCATCCCGTCATCATTTGGTTCTGGCAGGCTATCGACCGGTAAATACCTTTGTTCTATTATGTATAATATACAGTGTGCGCATCATATTTTGGTCGGATATTTCGATACGTCCAATGTACTTTATTTTTTGTCAATTTCTGTTTTTTGTAAACAGCCATGTTTATTTACTAATATTATGCTCCCCGTTGTTGTTGTTGCTACTAAGTTGTAGTTACAAAAGATCGAAAGCATCAGCACAGCTACACTGATAATTTAGTTGCAGGGTAAGATACAATGATTGTACTCGATTTTACCTGCCCTGATTGACACGCCAAATGATAAAAACAAAAATAGAAATAGAGTTGTCTCACAGGATCCATTTCGTCTGACTCACTCAGTAGATCATCAATGTAAATTATTTTCTTTTAATCAAGGATTTTATAACAGAAAAATGATGGAAGACCAACTATTGATGAAATTTTGTGTACTGGGTAAATTTTCAGGTAAGTTTTTTGTACTCAATTTTGGTGACAATTTCTTTTTATTTAAATATTTATAGAATATCATCATGAAGTATTATTTAATATTCGAGTGTGGTAACCTGAAACATTCTTTAATATTTCGCGATGATACATTCGAGTAATTAAATAATAAAAATTGTCACCAAAATTGAGTACCAAAAACTTACCTGAAAATTACTGTACTCAAATTAATAGTAAAAAATCCTTGATGTTTTTTTTAGTGGTTCCTTTTCAGTGAATTCACTGCGAACTGAACCAAATACATAGTAGCTATCAGTTTGTTATCTTTAATTAGAAATTCCCTACAGAGCGATATCGTATCTATTTTTATCTATCAACCTATATGTAACAGCTGAACTTTCAGCTGGAATAGTTTATCAAGGACAAGTTTAATAACATTTGTCATTATCGGCCGATTAAAAAAATTCTTAAATTTCCGTCCCAAGGATGCCTAGAAGAAATTGTTACTTGCAATAATTTTGGCTTACTCTGTTACACTTACATTACTTTTCCTCGTAAATATTAGTCTAATATTTATGTGCAATAAAGAATATTTCATTCATTCATTTAAATTTTTTCTGTAATGAAATCTGAAATTTTACTTGCGCTTGTGACCGCTAGGGGCGCTGTATGTGTTGTTATGTCATTTTCATGAATATTCACATTTTATTTTAACTTGAATAACGTACAAAAGTAAAAATCGCCGCGGTGTTGTTGGTTTGCCGGATTTAGCATTAATAATTTTCAACTCCTAATCACCTGGAAAAAAATGTTATTTAGCGCAGAGGCCGTCTGTTGTACAATGTTCGATATACGAGTATTTCATTCATTCATTTTCATTATATTAAGATTTTGTATGTAACTACTGATTGAAATTGAAACTATTTTTTCGGATCTAAACCGCGTACATTTCCTTTTTTTTTAAACAATGCAACGTTCGGGGCTCGATTTAGAGTCGAAAAAGTAGTATTTGTGTGATAAATAAACTGTGCGGTCTTGGCCTTTAAAAGTGTTAACTGTAGCAATTGAGACAATAGAATGTTGTTAGCGAGTTACAAGGGCACTTCCTGCATTATTCGCTGAACTTCGGTAACCGAACATTTGCGTTATTAAAAAATGTAATTAAACATCCTCATGAACACAAACAAACTATTCAAATAATTTATGACTTTACATGCAATATAAATGTATAAATAATTTAAGTATATGGTCTAGTAATAATAATAATGGTATAGTCCACACTTACACATAAGTTAAAAAAAGCAAGTGAAGAAACTTTGATGGATCAGTATTTGGCATATAGATTTTAAGACTTTCGTGGTTATTCACTAAATGATTACCACTAATATCATGTTTCTTACCATGGTATGACTTTAGGAACGGTTGCACGCTGGTCACGGGTTGGAGCGTGCAACCGTTCCGTAATATCGGGAAAATAAAAAGAAGTCATACCGTGGTAAGAAACCTGATATTGGTGATAATCATTCAGTGTTTGGTACTTTGTGGGTGCTAGATGTTCCGGGTCCGGTACTCTGTAGACCTAATCTGGAAAACGAACGGAGTTAATTTTGTAGTTCTGGTACTCATAATACAGGACATTGTAGCCTTTTTTTTGTAATATTAACGGATGGGACGAACAAGTCGCAAGCTACATGCCTGTCCATAACAGTTGCAGTGCCACTCAGAGCCTTAAAAATTGCAAAGATCGGAGAGGCACTGACAAGTCCCATGTGCCTGTAATTTCACCAGTACCCTTACCCTTAACAAAACTTAACTTAAACCGAAACACAGTAATGCAAAAATTACTGCTTGTCGGCAGAAATAGGTAAGGAAACACTACCCTGGATGAACTCTTTCACAAGGAGCTCTACTGCTTATCGAGTTCTTAGGTCTACTGCTACTAAAAAAAATGAAACCAGTCTCATAATATTCATCAAAATTGGTGTAGTTGTTTGGCCCATTATTATTGTAGTAATGAAAACATTTTTTGTATACGACTCCTGTATTAATTTTTTTTTTCTCTCAACAGTTTCACGAATGAACAAAGACTGCGCCTTGTACAATTCGTGACGGGGACATCGTCGATTCCCTACGAAGGTTTTTCAGCGCTGCGCGGCTCCACCGGCCCACGACGCTTCTGCATCGAACGCTGGGGCCGGGTTGAGTCCTTACCACGAGCCCACACTTGCTTCAACCGCCTTGATCTACCCCCTTACCCCACTCCACAGCTTTTATACGAAAAGTTATTACTTGCTGTGGAAGAAACCAATACCTTCGGCATTGAGTGAATTATCTGCTATTCAGCTTCGGAACGCAATTTAGATCACGAGAAACTTTTGTATTTTGTACATAGTTAAATGTGATGCTATTCTAGAGTCGACCATACGCGGTATTTATTTAAGAACGTAAACTCGTATGACGAAATATTTAAAGAACTGATATTGTAACCGAGATAGCGAGCAGTGGGCGAGTCGTCCCAGAAGTTCGACGGCCGCATGTTTTTCAATCGAGCTATAATTATCGATATTAATTGCAACCATTGTTGTCGTTGTAAATAATAGTCAATTGATAGCTTAGGGTTAAGCCCCATTGGTCAGTACGCGTCATTTCGTCCTTTTGATAACTACATTGCTGCGAAATCAGTAAACAAATGTGTGAA